CCCAGCATATGAAAGACTTCATTCATAAGTTTAGGGAAAACTGGCAGTCAAGTGAGTCTGAAGAAGCCAGACATATTTCTAAGAGATGTTGTTCAGTTTTAACAGTGTTCATTAATCATAGTAGCCCAGCCCTAGTAGCCCTGTGGCTACTAGGGCTGGGCGATATGGCCCAAAATTCATATCTTGATATTCTTTAAGCTGGGCATACACTGTGCGATTTTTTCAGTCGCGTTATTCAGCTTCTGCTCAAACTGCACAATTGACTCGTGATAATTTTGTAAGGCCACATGACAAGGCTCAGATGAGCTTGTCAGAGTTCTACAAATTGTGCCTCCATCGCTTGTGTCACACGCTGCACTGCCGTGCTGCCCTGTCTTTTCACTTTCATTTCTGTTTTTGCGTGTGCGCAGTGTGAGAGGCTGCGGTGACACCCTCACGATGGCCGACAGGATTTCTAACAGGTTTGATTTTCTTACGACCAAGCGATTGATGATCGGGAGCTGGTGGTGAGGTGTTAATCGCTTCTCGTTACCCCACGTATACTACACGATGCACAACACATGATGAAGGCGAAACTCGGGCGATCACCAAAATGGTCGCGCGACTGAAAAATCGGCTCAAAATGAGCCAAAAATCACCCCGTGTATGCCCAGCATTAGCTGGATGACGATATACAATATATATCTCAATATTTTTTAAAGCCATAAAGTAAGAACAAAAAGAGAGTTAGTCAAAGCTGTCCCAAATCTCACACAGACACTTTTATCAAAATACAGCGCAGATGTACATGAACAAATTACTCAGAAATAAATTATCAACATTTACTAAATAACAATGCTCCGTAAATAAAATGAAACAATGTTGGTTTTTTGCATAAAAAAAAGCTCACAATTGTGCAGTCAAAATGTAAACTGAAAGATGCTGAGCATAATAACAAAGAGACAGATTTCGCAGCTGCTCTGTTCCCGAAGTTCTACTGCGTGACTGACAGCCTTGAGTTTGAAATCCGCTTCATAACCATGTCTCTTAACAGGTGCCATTTGTGGTCCTTATACACACACAATACAGCAATATTACGATGAAGCACAGTACGTATCACTCTGCGAGGCTCCTGACTACGGTAGCCGTAATGCTCCGACAATTCCAGCAAGTGGTGCAGCTACGTAGCTTAACAAAGTCGTACTAAAACATTTTTTGACAGATTTCTGAGTGCCGTGTACCACATAAAATCGGTCCGTGGTTAGTAAGCACAACCAGAATTCCTAAATAAGGCACACTGTCAATTTTTGAGAAAATGAAAGGATTTTAGTGTAAGCTTATAGTCCCAAAAATACGTATACGAGTTTGGTAAGGTGGTTTGTTTCAGGGCAGGAGGCTGGGAGACTTTGCGGTCTACAGCACGCAGTTTCACACAGTCTTCATTTTGCACTTTATGGCGCTGTTGTAAATGGTGAAAATACTATTAGTCCTCCAGCCTTTAGTCGGGATTAGGGGTGGGTTTTGATTATCGATTTATTGATTAAAATCGATTCTAGCTTCGATAACGTGATATCGATTCATTAAAATGCTGAATCGAATTTTAAATATACATTTATTTTGCCCGAAACGCCTGAATCTCAGGTTAAACCTCCAAAAATTTCAACAACCACCAAACAGCTAAAACAGTAAAGACAGCAGGTGCAGGGATTCTGCACAAAGATGTAAACACAAAACACGGACCCACCGACTGATCAGAATCAGTGAGATGTCGCCTTTCTCACCCGACAGCACGGGCATGGACACGCCATCGGGACTGAAAGCCGAAAGCTTTGTGTTTACATCCTTTTTGCGCTCGATTCTGATGCTGCAGGTTTTATCTCTCTCCAAACAATATTGACTGAACCAGCAGCAAAAGAAGATCGCTTCACATTTTGCTTCACATAAACATTGTCGTGAATTCCCTCTGACTTTTGCTGTTTTGCTTCCACCATGATAAAAATCACACTTCCTGCAGAGCTCTCTCTCTCTCAGGAATAGTTTCCTGTCTAAAAATCTCTGTTTTCTGCATTATTCGCTTGCTTATTACGCACAAGTCTACCGCTGTTTACAGCGCTGTCTACCGCTGTTTACAGCGCTGTCGGCCGCTGTTTATTTTTTTCCTTTTACTTACTTCTGAAAAGAAAGTATAATAAAATTATGCAAAATTGCAAAACACTTACCTGTGTCTCTAATAAAACCTCTGTAACTTTGCTCTGCTTCACTTCAGCAGCATCAGGTCATGTTCAGATGTTGATTAATGGTTTTCTTTTGTTTTTGATCTACAGAATATTTTTAAGGTCATCTCCTATAAAATCCCAGGCCAGGAAAATCTCCTTCATGTTTTTCTGTGTTTTATCCTCAGTTTCTTTGACACAAAGGCATCTACTGTGATGCTTACACCTTTGATAAAGTCTTTGATAAAGTGTCAGCTTTCTTTTTATAGATATAAAAATATGGAAATGTACTGATTATATATTTCCGACTGTCAGAGGCAAAATTTCCCAGATTTGGATAGAATCGAATCGTGGATCGAATCGATATGGGACCTTGTGAGTCGTGATCGAATCTATTCTAAAAATCAGTGACCATACCCAGCCCTAGTCGGGATGCTTTTCTGACACTCTCTGCAGAATACATTATTCTGCTGCTGATCTTAATAGTAATAATAATTAGTGCTGTCAGCGTTAACCTTGTTAAAATGACATTAACGCCATAACTGCATTAATGTAGCAAATCTCCGTCAATGATTTACCGCAGATTGCCCACGGATTAACCGCGGTTAGCTCGTTAATGCCTTAATGCAGTTATGGCGTTAACTCATTTTAACAAAATTAATGCTGACAGCACTAAAATAGTAATCTCCAAATGTTTTCTTTTTACTGACCAGCTCCTCTTTAATAGCTGCCATGTCCATCTTGTTGTTGCCTGCAGGTGAAGCGATGGAGGAGGGGAAGTTGTGTTGGAGATTATGTATTGGAATTTCAGGAGCAGGAACACGCCTCCAAACAAGCTCCTTATGGTTGTCATTTATATAGGTTTCTCCAGTTCTGCAAGCT